TAGTCAAACAAAACCACTGTTCACTTTTATGCCTAGGAAATGCATTTAAATGTCAATAATGCACATTTTTTGGGTGATGATAAACCAGTTTTCCAAGTCTTTAAGCTTAGGCAACCATATAAGCGTAAATGTGTTTCTGTGTATTTGTTGAGAAATTTACAAAAAAATTTACATATGGTGTGGCTCTATCAAAAACATAAATATGTTTACGTGTTACATATTTCAATACGAACAACGTCGTCGCCTTTATCAATTCTCTATTGAAAGCTTATACAATATATGTTTTTTTAATTTATTTATAATAGTATCTATCTGAGGGAAAACAACAACAGCAAGTTGTCCATACACAACTCAATTCCCCCCAAAGAAAATACAGCAGCAGCAACATAACTTTTAAGTTTCACTTTCAAAAAAAAAAGAAAAAAACTCTGAATATGGACATAAAGAGAAAGAAAGAAAACTTGAGACACGTCATTATTCTTGAACACGTTGTCTGTTTTTTTATACTCCCATATAAATACAAAAAAATATCGTAGAGAGAAATAAGTTGAGAATGTTAAACAATTTCAGTGGCTGGTTTATTGTAAAGACCGGCATTTACTTAGCTATTATTTTTTTACTGAAATGGCTCGAACAGGTAGAATAAATAAAAACAAGTACTTTTGTATATGTAGGTTAATTGTTGAATTATTTGTTTTATTTATTTTTTTAAAGCTAAGCCAGCCATCTTCTTTTTTCTCTTAAGGTAGCAAATCAATTCTCTTAGTTTAGTTTTTTTTTTTTTGTTTCATAATCAAATCTGTTGCTTGCTCTTTGTAAGTTATACCTTATCACAATATATATTTATTTGATAGTAATTTTGTATTGGCAGAATATTGCCGCAGTTATTCGTTCGAATAACTTGAATGGGAACTATAGATGCTGGCTTTATCAATACCAAAAAATAAAATATATGCGCTACTTGTGTATAGATAGATAAGATTTCCCATATTATTCGTAAGACAATAACAACAATTTGCCAAGATATTTCTGGGAAATTCTTCCACAAAAAGAATATTTATAATTACATATTGTTTTTACACAATTGATCATTTTATTTTGACAAATTTTTGTTTTTTGCCGAACTACATATCTTATCTATAGAGATTCCCCCGAAAAAACCCCAACCTGTGTGTAAGTGACAAAAGTCACGGTAATAGATATAGTTCATGTATTTATTTACTTCTTGTACAAAATCACCTTGAATTTTTTTTGTAACAGTTAACCGATAAGAAATGATGGTGCTGCGTATCGAACCATGTAACAACCAACTATCAAACATAAAGGTCAAATAGCTTGTCGTTCGTATTGACATACTATAGGCGTGTGTTACCGTTGTCTATATAAAAAATGCTATTGAACTCTTTTTTCTTTTGTTTAGATAACAGTTTTTGTATTCCTACTCTCCTTATAATTGCTTACCAAAAATTTAAAACGAAACAACAACAAAAATATATCTGAACCTTAGATAACAAATGTTATTCAATTTTGTTGTGCGTCTGCATCATAAAAAAGATGTTCAAATCAGTTATTTGTTTCGCATCATTTATTGTTTATCATTGACTTGTGCTGCTGCTGCTGTTGCTGGTGGTAAAGAGTTTGAATTTTGTTAGCCATGGACAAGGTAAACGTTTGAAATTACACAGTATCACTATTTTTTTTTTTTTTTCAATTTTGTTTAAACGTGTTTATATCTGGTGTCAAATAATCTGCAAAGGACATTAGTTTTTATCCAATATCTATGCATATTATTATGAAATTACATGTAGAAGGAAATCATGCACTGTGAAAGTTGAGTGACAAAAATGATTTTGAATCGTTGAACGTTAATCTCGGCGTTTTTGGAATATTAAAAAAAAAATTAAACGTTACCAACGTTGCTTCTGTTGGTCAAGGGGCATATTGGTAATTGATAATTTGTGATTATATCGAAGTTTCGGCAAATACAAGAAAGTGGTCGGCATATTTATTGTGACAAATGTGGATTGTTTGCAATTAGTTAATTGCTCAGCCTTATGGCTAATTAAAAATGTGCCTCATCGAAATATTGGTTTAAGACCCAATCAGTCGCACTCCGGATATTCGCTTGGGAGAGATCTCGCTTGTGAAAATTTTTTCGCTTTCACATTCTCGCCTTATTCTGAAGGAGCAAAAAAATGTGAGACGCGAATTCAAATTTTCGAAAATGGTGATAGAAAAAAGATTCGGGTTACCATGTTGTAATGGGTGCTGCCCCATTGTAATTTAATTTTGTAATATTTTTCAATATTTTATTTATTAATTTTTTTTAATTGTTACTTTTTTGGTATTTAAATTTGTTATTAACAATATAAATGTGAAATATCAAGAATCCGTTTGCTGCTTTTTAATTAAAAGAAGTTTGAAAGTATGGCAACATAAAAAGGCATGTGAAACGGCTGTTTATTGTTTTAATGCAATTTGGTGTAACAACTACAACAGATTTTGAATAAAATAACATTTTTATATGATGGCAAAAAGCACACACGATAAATTTGAAAGAAAAGGCATTTTTTGAAGCTTTCTTATTGTTCTTTCAGCCTTATGGTTAATGAGGTATACTTCGGCTTTGATAGGGTGAAAATGTGTCTTATCGAAATATCGGTTTTAGACCCCAAATCCGTTTCAAAAAATTTGGAGTCGATTTACACATGTCCTGAACCAAACTTTGCACAACCTACTACATTTGCCAAGCCTAGATCAAGTTGAAGATGGGGCCCATTGGTCCACTATTTCTGGCACCTCCCCAGAAAATGGTCAAAAATGTTCTAAAAATTAATTTTATAATAACATGCAAACGGACTATCCGATTTGAACCAAACTTTGTACAACCTATTATCTTTACCAGGTCTAGATCATGTTTGAAGATGGGACCCATTGGTCCACTCCTTCTAGTACCTCCCCACAAATGGTCAACATTTTCAATATTTGTAAACCCAATATCAGGCGAATGGAATGTCCGATGTTAACCAAACTTTGCACAACCAATTCCGAAGATGGGACCCCGTAGTCAACTCATTCCGGTACCCCCCTCACAAATGGTCAATATTTTATAAAATGTTATCAACATTAAATCCGAAACCTCTTTGATAAAACATTTTTCTTATATAAAGATAATAATAAAATCTGTGTGTCATTCCGAAGAATGACGAACGGCAACACCGACTGACGCTTTTTTACTTGTTTTTATTTGAGTTTTTCAATGTTAAGCATCAAACAAATTTGGTTATGTGGTTTTCCCACACGTTTTAAAATTTTTTCTCAAGAGACAGATCCCCACACAAAATGTCTTATTTTCGCCTCCAAATTACATCAAACACTGCTTAAATATTTCTTTTTGCATTTCTAACATATCGTGGCAATATTTAGTTGAGCATGCATGGTTATCAATAGGATTTCCAAAGGCATTTTATTTGTTGTTCTTGAGTTAAAAATATGCATACAACCATTTATAATATTCAAAATCGTCATAGAATAAGTATTGTGTAGACATTTTACAAAAAAATATTTAATACTTATATTTTTTAGTCAGCTCCCTTTAAATTTAATAGCGAAAAATTTCGAACAAAATGTCATCACATTCTCCCACTCCCTGTAATCCATAATAACTAATTTTTTGAACTTGATTCAGAAGAAGGGGAAAGCAAAAAAACCACTGCGTGTTTTGGTTCAGAATAACATTAAAGGGAAGAGCGAATAAATTCACGATGAATTGATGTCCAGAATAAGCCTCCATGTTTCTTTGGACGAAATCCGTTTTGAAGGGAGTACCCGATTTCATTCAAACATTGCACATTGCAATATTCATTCCGAACTTAGGTCAAGTTCGAAGAAAGAGAAATATCGACGAACAGATTATCAAATTTGAATAAAACATTGTACAGCCTATTATCTTTACCAAGCCTAGATCTAGTCCGAAGACGGGACCCATTGGTCCACTCCTTCTGGTATCTCCCCCACAAAGTGATCAAAATTGTGCGAAAATGCATTTTATCGGTCCCATCGGTCCACTCACAATTAGTCAAAACTTTGCTGAAAATTACTTTTTTATTATAATGCAGACGAAATATCCGATTTACAACCTAATATTTTAACCTTGAAAAGAAAGTTAGAATTAAGGAAAATTTGATTAAGCAACTTCAAATCGGTTATTCCGTAAATAGTGTCATATCCCAAGAATTGTTTTCGAAGGCATGTCTTCCCCACACGCTCTGCAACTGCTGCTACTCTCGCATACAATCTTGAATATATGTGCGCTTTGGCTGAGGTGTCCCATGTGTCCATGAGGGTACTGGATAGTGTAGTGGTAATTCTAGCTTATAGATTGGCTATGTCTTTGCCTGTGACTCCTGTGTGACTCGGTACCCATATAATTCGTATAGGTCCTTGTTGTGAGAAATTATTAATGGTATTTATACATTCCAGTACCGTTTTGGATTTAACCGTTTTGTAGGACACTGCATTTATAGGTTGTTTGCTATCCGTAAATATATAAGTTGTATTTTGTCCTAGGTTTGACTTAACCAGTTAAGACACCCTGTTATATCTTGAACCTCCGCCTCGTTTTGTGATCTGCAAGGCGAATAGAAATTTCGGTACCCGGTTCTTTAATAGAAGTCCCAATCCAGTCTTTCCTCCTAGTCGAGAGCTATCTGTGTAGCAAAAGTTACGAGCAGGCATCTGAACAAGTGTTCCCCACCGTATGAATACACTCGTTTCAGGTATGCCGTCTGAAAAAAGGTATTGATTGTGGACCCAATATTTACCTGTAATGTTTTTTATGCGGTCGTATTGTTATATGATTACTATTTTCAAATCTTCAAACGATCTGCCTTCCACTGACTTTCATGTTTATTCGTCTTCGCGAAAACGACATCTTTATTATTATACACATTTTTTTCAATTCAATTTAACATTATAATATTTTTTCTTTTTTATTTTAGGTCATTCGACGCGGTAAAAATATCCTGCCCACAGTTGCCCGCCTGTGTTTGATAGCCACATTTTTTGAAGATGGTCTTCGTATGTACTTCCAATGGAATGAACAACGCGAATATATGGATATGAGCTGGGGTTGTGGCAAATTTTTGGCTACTGTATTTGTGTTAGTTAATTTAATTGGACAACTGGGAGGCTGCGGTATGGTCATTGCTAGATTTAAGGTTGACATTGCTGTTGGTGTTCTATTCTTTATCGTTGTATTGCAGGTGAGCTACTTTGTTTTAATATTTTATTTAAATATATAATTTTTACTGATAATTTTTCTCTCTCTGTTCTATCCTTGCCAGACAATTGCCTACTCTATTCTGTGGGACATTCAATTCTTGTTGCGTAATTTAGCTTTAATTGGTGCACTACTCCTGGTGTTGGCTGAATCACGTGTCGAAGGACGTAGTCTATTTGCTGGTGTACCCACATTGGGTGACAATAAACCGAAAAATGTTATGCAACTCGCTGGACGTATTTTGCTTGCATTTATGTTTATTACATTGATTCGTTTCGAATTAAGTTTCTTGCAAGTAAGTGGGAAATTTGGTCCTTGAAAAAATATTCTTTAAAAAATCCTTGCCTTGTGTTGGTCCTTGAAAAAATATTCTTTAAAAAAAGTCCACGCCTTGTGTTGGTGCTTGAAAAAATATTCTTTAAAAAATCCACGCCTTGTGTTGGTCCTTGAAAAAATATTCTTTAAAAAATCCACGCCTTGTGGTGGCTCTTATTTCTAGTATTCTCTTATTAATTATTTGTTTTCTTATATTCTTTTCAGATCCTTCAAGATATTGTTGGTTCAATCCTGATGGTTTTGGTAACAATTGGTTACAAAACAAAATTGTCTGCCTTAATTTTGGTTGCCCTCTTGACTATCTTAAATTTGTACCATAACGCGTGGTGGACCATTCCCTCGTACAAACCTCTCAGAGATTTTCTTAAATATGACTTCTTCCAGGTAAGTTATCCATAGACCGCGATATTAAAAACTAAAAAACTCACAAAAAAATATTTTTGTTTTGCAGACCCTATCAGTTATTGGTGGTTTATTGATGATTGTGTCATTGGGTCCCGGTGGTGTATCTATGGATGAACATAAAAAGAAATGGTAGATGATGATGACGATGACAAAGCAACAAACAAATTTTATACAATAAAACCACCACCCCCCAACCACCATGTGCATCATCCACAAAAAATTCTTCTTTAATTGTATACCATTTATGATTATTTTTTTAATTTTAATTGGTTTTTGAGCTCTATGGTAAAAAAGAACAAGAAGAAGAGGTACGAAGAGGAAGGAAAAAAAACTTATAAACACGACGAAAAATTCACTCAGTTTTTATATATAAATATATTTTTTTTAATAATTTTATTGTATTCTGTTGTGTTTGTATTTGTTTAAAAGTTTGAATTTGACCTACAAAAAAAAAAGATTCTACAAATTATTTAATTTTTTTTTTACAAAACAAACCATAAAATGGGAATAAAATTCAATAAAAATGATATAAAAAATATTAAAATACAAAAACAACAATTTCAACTGTACAATTTATTGCAATGTGGCACAAAAACATATTAAAAAATTACAGTATAACAAAAACAAACGATTTGATTTAGCGATTGTAAATTGCTCATATTTCCTGACCCCGCCCCCAACGTTATGACTTCTATTACCTACCTTACTGTAATCCTTATATTGTTTGAAGAATTTTTTTGTTTGATACATTAGGCATATTATGTTTCCATTTCTTTTTCAAATGTCTGTCCACTATAATTTAAATATATATATTTTTTTTCCTGTGTGTTATAATTTGTTCCATACTATGTATATTCCTAGTAGTAATTTTAAGAAAATAAAACAAAAAACATAAATCCAACTTTTTATAATGCCAACTGGACTTGAAAAAATAATTAATATCACGTGTTTTTTATTTTCAATATACGCAAAAGTATCGATAGACTGTTTTAAAATGCTTGTGTTTTATTATGCATGTTTGGGAAAGTTCGATTTGATTTTCTATTTTGATAGTCGATTTTGATAGTCAGTATAAATGAAACAATTTTTGGAACATTTTTATTCGATCTATTTTACAACTAAGCCCCGTGGAAAGGCTAACTCTAATACAATGATATATGAAGAAGGTAAGTACAGGGTTATCCATTTCGTGGTTTCATTCAAACTTTGCACATCTTAATATTTCTTCCAAACCTTCATGAAGTTTGAAGATGTGGAATATCTGTCCGCTCCTCGTGATACCTCCCTCACAAAATGGTATGGACCCGTTGGTCCACTCCAAAGACGAACCCTATTGAAATTGAGAAAAATCTGTTCAGATTTAGATATACCTCCCATATATATTTTCGTCCGATTTAATGTAAATGATGCATTAAAGTCCCTATATATCTTTCGATTTGCACAAAATTTGGCATAGCGTACTAAATTGTGTCTAGAATGATGTGTGCTAAGTTCCGTGAAAATCGGTTCAGATTTAGATATAGCTACCATATATATTTTCGTCCGATTTCATGTAAATGGTGTACCAAATCCCCTATATTTCTTTCGATTTGCACGAATTTTGGTAAAGCGTACTGAATCTAGTCTAGAATGATCGGATTTAGATATAGGTCCCATATAAATCTTTCGAGTTTCGAGATTTAGATATAGCTCCCATATATATTTTCATCCGATTTAATGTAAAGTCACTGTATTTCTTTCGATTTGCACGAAATTTGGTATAGCATACCGAATTGAGTCTAGAATGATGTGTGCTAAGTTTCGTGAAAATCAGTTGAGGCTTAGATATAGGTCCCATATATATATTGGTCCGATTTTATGTAAATAGTGTACCAAAGCCCCTATATTTCTTTCTATTTGCACGAAATTTGGCATAGTGTACTGAATTGAGTCTAGAATGATATGTGCTAAGATTTAGATATAGCTCCCATATATTTTTTCGTCCGATTTTATGTAAATGGTACACCAAAGTCCCTATATATCTTTCGAGTTGCACGAAACGCGTCAATTTTATTTGATTGACACCTCTCAGAAAAATGTTTATCACAGGGAGAGGAGTTTTATACTAACGGAAATTGGGATTCCAATAATACCATTTTTATTTACTTTGTTGGTTTGTTGTTCCATTCTGTTATTCAACGGTAGTGTTATGCAGGTTTTTAATACCAAAAATCCTATGAGTAATATAATATGTCCAAAATTCTGTTTTAAATGTTGCAATATGACATGGCGATAAATCGACCTTGAATTTTATTCCGATACAACTTTTGAAGACTCCGGTGAACATTTCCCCTTTATACAGGGTGGTCCAAAAAGGGCTGTATTTTTTTTTAGTTTTTTTTTATAGATTTTTTTTTATGTTTTTAAATATTTAATTCATGGATTTTTTTACATTTAAGTGAAATATAACATCTCTCAAATAGCATTAAATTTTCTTGCAAATAAAATTGGCTCTTTTAACAGCAATTTCCATTACTGCCCGTAGAGTTTCTGGTTCCAAGTTGCTTATTTCTGCTTGAATGTTGTGCGTAAGCTCCTAAATTGTTTGCGGTTTATTGATATACACAACTCCCTTCAAATAGCGCCACAAAAAAGTCTGGGTAAATCTGGTGAACGTGGAGGCCAAGCAAAATCAAAATTTCTGTAAATTTTTTGAATAGCATATTGCAGGCGTCAATTGGGTCTTGGGGGAGCAGTTGCTGTGCCATTTGAATTTTATACGGAAACAATTTGAGTTCCCCCTTCAAAATTCTTTGCAGGGATGTTCTGGAGATTATCTGGATATACATGTTAAAATTGAAATAAATAGAAATAGATTCCCAATTGAGTACAACGACGACGAGTAGAGATCTTCGTTTACACTCTGTCGTACAGTCTCCACAACTGCTTCATTGCGCACAGATCGAACTCTTGCTCTTCCTGGAAGATCTAACACTCTTCCATGTTCCTCAAAATGAGAGACTAAGTTCCTAATCATGTTGTGACTGGGTGACATTAAAATGACAACGATAATTTAGTTGAGTTGTAATAATTGACCTTACAGAAGAATAAAAAAATCAATGATTTTGAAGCGCTTTTGCACAACATATGCAGCCACGATTTATCTCCAAAAACCAGTAAATAACCCGCAAGAGACAACAAAAAATGATTAAAAACAAAAAAGATATAACCAATTTTAATCCTTCAGTCTTTTTTGGGCCACCCTCTAGTAAGGGATATACAAATTAAGATAAATTCCATTGGGAGTTCTTGGTTCACACATCATATTTCGATTTGATAAAAAATTCCAATCATGGGATATAACTACATTATAACTTAAGTCCCGACATTACTTTCATGTTTTCAAAAAATCTGATGGATTTTATAAAATACAATTTGTATTAATTGGAACTTTTGAGCGAAAAATTAATAACACTAACAAAACACAATATATTATCCCACTATATCGTCATGTCTTATATAATAATAATGTCACTTATAACACAATTTCAATTTGTTTAGATTAAACATTAAATACTACCCACCACCAGCAGATAGACCGCCAAAAATTATGCACTTAGATAAAATAGGGACACTGATAATAATACCCTACCACATCTTGCATTTTCCTCTTGCCACACAATTGAAAATAATGCAATTTTAAATTATTGTTGTTGTTTTTCTTTATCGTGTATTACACATTTCATTAGTACATTTATTTAAACTTTACGTGGTGATAACTCAAGTATATTTTCTTGTTATTGTTTGTTTTTCATGTGAATATAACTTCATTTATTTGTAATTAACCATAACATGATAGCGCCATCATCATGGGCGATCAATGTTTCGGTACTGAATGGTAATTTTCGAATTTGGAATTCGTTTAAAATTATGTTTTGTAGATTTTTCTTCGAATTGTATTTGTATTATTATTATGCCTAAGGCTGGCTAGTAACAGCAATATGGGATGTTTAATCCAAGGCAGCAGCACCAGAGATAATTTCAATCAATTCACGGGTAATGACAGCCTGTCTGGTACGGTTGAATGTCAATGTCAACTTCTCAATCATTTCACCGGCGTTCTTGGAAGCGTTGTCCATAGCAGTCATACGGGACGATTGCTCGGAGCAGGCGCTCTCCTTCATGGTGTAGAAGATGAGGGAAGCAAGGGAATATTCCAAATAGCTTTGGATGACATCGGCATCCAAGGAGTCGTAGACAGCCAATTTGTCGGACTTTTCAACTGTGTTTGAGCTGAAGATGGGCAGTGTGGAGCATTGGTACGACACAACGGACTTGAAACGGTTGTAGACGATGCTGCCTTCGGTGAAGTCATAACCGCACTTCATAACTTCATGAGCGATGCGAGAAGCATCAATGAAGGTGGGTGGCAAACGGCCAACTTCATTGGCGACGAACAAAATGTCCTTGCCATAGAGACGGGACAAAATGGAACGGGACTTGTCACCGACACAGATGATCTTGGTGTTGGAGGAGTCCTTCATCATTTCGTTACGGATGAAACGAGCAACACCGGTATGGACAGCGCCGCACAAACCACGATCAGAGGTCATGGCAATGAACAATTTCTTTTGTTCGGCCTTATCGTCCGATTGGATTTCGGTCTTCTCGAAGAACTGTTGGGCACCCAGACCATAGGGGCGAGCAGCCTTCAAGTCACGTTCAGCACGCGAGTACTTGGCAGCTGATACCATCTTCATGGATTGCGTAATCTTCTGAATGTTCTTAACGGACTTCAAGCGAATGGAAATGGCTTTCAAAGTGGCCATACCACGCTGTTGCTGGGCCTGCAAAGTAGCCTCAACGGCCAAAGGGACCAATAAAGTTGCAGCACGTTGGGAAAACATTTTGTTAATCGCTCGAAGGTTCCGTGTGGTATGCTGAAATGCAATAAAACAAAATTAAATTCACTCAATTAGATAATTTTCTTTTCCAAACACACACAAAAAATTTCTTTGATTATGCAAAACACCGATTGGAATTTTTTTTACCACGACTGACACACTGACAGACGCTACTCTTATGTAAGTCAGATAGGTGGTAATGTGAGAGATGATATTTTTGGCA